ATCCCGCTAATGAAGGTGAATTATCTCGTGGCCACGAGATTGTAATCTTTTTTTTTTTTTTTATCCAATGTCACCAGGGGGGCTCCGTACAATTCATACATTTACCATATCATTGTTTTATGTTTGGGGGTTGTGGCTGCAACCTTAGTGGGTTTTTTTTGCAGAATAAAAGTAAAACTCTTAATAGGTATATTTTGCTTTTCACCATTTGATCTTTCAATGGGATGCCTAAGATGAATAACTTTGGGTTAAAGATTAATTTTGCATCCAAGATTAATTCTATTTCGACATCCTCCGTCTCCCCCAGCAAATTTAGACAGTATACAGTATGTGCAAGGTCTCCTTGGGTGGCACAACCCCACCAACATAATCCAGGAGATTTTCCATATTTAGCCATTATTATACTTTTGACCCTCCAGTAAAATTTGCTCCAGTTTGGGCTATTTGTTAGTTTATGACCAGACAAGCAAGTTTCATCCCATTCGTTTTCAGATATTACAATGGTCAAATCCAATTGCCACCTTTTCTCCATCTTTATCTTTTATTGATGTTGCAATGCTCTGTAGAATGTAAAAATAAATAATTTCTTCTTCACATATTACAGGAACCTTTTTATACAGAACAGCTTTTCATAAAATGTTTGACTTGAAGAATGTTGTAATGAGTCTGGGCAGGTAGGGTATATTCTTGAATGAGTTGTTTAATAGGATTTTATTTTTGTTAAAAGTTGCTCCTAAATGCCATATTAATATGAACCAATATCCACATTTATCACATTTGTTGAATGATCCTTTATATATTCTTATCTGGGGTAAAAACAAAATTAACACCTCAAAGGAACTTTGTATAGACAGTTAATGTGCCATAATTGAACAATATGTGGTTTATCAAACTATTCCTTTCTCTCATTTCTTACATAAGTGTTGGGACTCTTGTAGTGGAGTTAAAAGTGTGGGATTACATTAAATGTATACAAATATTATCACACTTTTTGTATTGAAAAAATGTCAACAATAAAAAAGTTAATTTGGACCCCAATCTAGTATTCGCAGAGTATACATAATGCAAAAAAATATAATGTACTGCAAGACTTAATTACATTTATTTTACTGTATTGTATGGAACATGCATATAAACCATCAAAATCATCAGCAACTGTAGCCAGTGTTTATAAATTCATTCATATTCTGTATTTAGAATTTGAGCTTTGTTTCAAATCAGTATACTTCTCTTAAATGCGAATAATGCTTGAATAAATCATTGTAGCTGAGACCTCATCTGAAACACAGTTTCAGTCGACAGCCGAGATGGTACATGAGTTTGGGTCTGATGGTCTGGTCTCTGATGCCATAGATGAGAGCGCTCAGACATCTGGGGAGTAGAACAGTACATACATAAAGAATACTGTTGATCCGCACCATTTCTATTCTGCCAACAAGTTTAGAGATGGCAGTAACCAGAGGACTCTGAATAGCTGAGGACAGACTGAGACCCAGCTGCACCAGA